TCAATTTGGACTTGCAGGTGATTGAATAGTTCAGTACTTTCGAAAATATTTCAGTCCCTAACTGAAGCTCGTGGAAATTGGCAGTTCTATATTGCCATTGTGACTGTGGGGATTATAAAAATAAGTGGAATGATTTGAAATAAATATCTAGAGCAAACTCCCCAGAAGGCAACTCCGTATCTAGTTTGGGCTGTTTTTGAATAGACATAGCCTAGTTCTGTAGAAATGACTCCCAACGCGTAGCAGCCTGCTTCTTGCTTGAGTTTCCTGTATGGTCCCTGATCTTCAATTCGTCATCTATATTCAGCCCAAGACATTTGTCAGTATGTATACTTTCTAAGATTCCGATACCAAGGCAGATCTCAGGTAAGGTGCAGCAAATAGTGAGAATTCTGGCTTTATTGATTTCGAAGGATAACTTATTGGTCACACCATTTTTCACTTTGTTGATGTCTTCAGAGGTGATCCCATGCAGAATGGCATTATCTTTATTGCATCATAATGAGGTGGTGTCATCAGCAAAGAGGGTGTTCGGACCAATCTTCCAGGATTGACGTTTATTCATCCTTCAAAGCTTGATACCAAACAGTTGTTGGACTTCAATAGGGATGAACTAAGAAGTCAGGTCACTGTTATTTGAATCATCATATGCAGAAACTCAGACTGTCAGATAACAGTGTGTGTCGCTTATGTTTAAAAGAAATAGAGAAGACCCCGATTCTTTGAAGTTTTTCCAAAAGTTAACAGAAGTCAATTTGATCAAAGGCTTTTTTATATCAGTATAGGTGACATCAATTTGTTCTGTTGAATCGCCAGGTTTGTTATGGTAGACCTTTTGGCCATGCATCCATGCTGATTTGGTGTTATCATCATTCTAATATCATTATTTATTTGATCGTAAATAATGCTTCCACAGAGTTTTCCAAAACTGTATAGTATAGCTACTGATCTGTAGTTGGATACGAATGATCGATCGCGAGATTCGAATGCTCTATTCTATATTTCTGGATAGCTCTGGTTGTGAAAATTTCATATGTATCCGTAATTTTCAAAATTGATGCAATTAGGAAACTCAAGTTTAACATTTATGCTTTCTTGTTGGAATATAAGCCTGTATTCAGGAATGAAAATGTCTCTAACAGGATAACATGGAAAATATTCACTGCGAGAAGTGGATTGAATAAGAACTTTCTCCGGTGTTTATAATAAGTCTGAAGTTTAACAAGCTCAACGAGCTACTTCTGCTGCGAGATATCCAAATTGAAAGCGATTTCCACATAAGCTTATGTCGAGCGGAGTTTTCCAGACTTCGAAATTCAAAGATCTCTCGTTCAAAGTGAATTCGAAAGACATCAATTAGGAACAGTTCACTTCGAATTCATTTACGCTCAGGCGATTTGACCGGGGATGCGGAAGATTATTTCATTTGGTATACATCAGATTCATGATTTTGAACAAAACACAGGTCTTCTAGAAATTATCACATTTGAACTCAGGACAATGATTTGATAAAAACTTCCGTATTTTGAAGTATTAAAATATTATGAAAGCTGAAAATAAATTGTGAGAGTCCTCAAAAAAAAAACGAATCTCAACTGTATTCGACAACAAGAAAACCTTAACTACTGACGGTCCTACAATTCCTCGCATCCCAAGACGAAGACATCCCCACCGACCTGACCGGAGAGAAACTTCCCAGTGAGAGTAAAAAATACGTCCCGCTCCCGAAATAACCGCGAACCTGCCGGGCAACAACCGGCGTCGAACACCGTCGCGACGAAGCGTCAGTATGCGCCATGACGGACGACAGACCGCACGTTCTACCACGCGCCAAGGGACGCTCGGCGTCGATATGCGCCGCGAGCCACGCTTGCAGCCTGGAAGCGATTCCTCCCTCTGGGGCTTCCCCGGAAGCTGGCCGCAGAAGAAGACCCGCCGCGAGGTCGCAGAGTGCCAGGATGACCAACCGCAGGTCCGTGAAGCATCGCGCGGTCGTGACTTCTTCAAACAACGGTGTCAAGAGCCAGAGTAACAGTGAACCCAAGTTGACCGACCAGGAGACTACTCCGGATGTCTCTCCCCACGTCAGGAGGAAGGGGTCACAGAGACGGGGCACTTCTGTTTACCAGAGGAAGTCCACCGCGTTCTTGGACGTGCCGGAGACTCGCGCCAGAAGCAACAGCAACACGGAAGAAGAGGACGAGGATTCGTACAGGCTCAGATCTTTCAGTTTCACGTCCAAAGGTGAGTCGGAGGAAGACATTAAAGCTACCGAAAACATTTCTGAAAGTCTTAAAATTAAAGTCTCAACTTACAGATAACTATTCCTAACTTCATGGAAGTTGTTAGGGTTACGCAGTATCTTCTGTTGAGTTTGAGGGCCGTCTCAATGTAGATTTCCTTCCACGCGCTTTGGTTGCATGCATGGATAGCTTCTTGAGAGGAAGCATCTCTGAAGAAGCTAGCAAACCGTTAGGAAAATTTTCATCATGACGATGACTCTTGATCTCAAAGGATATTAATGCATTCCTAAGTTGGATATTTATCGGAACCATCCACTCCCAATCCTTCCACACATTTTTGAAAGAGTTCAATTGAAATTGAAACTGAAGATTACATTGATTATTACTATTCCCTACTCGATATTCAGTTAGCTTTGCAAAAAGTTTATAGCTGTACCAATCCT